TTTAATAAGGACATTCATCTCGGAGCGGAATTTCCTTTCATAATTAAATTAACTTCCTCGGGAATGCGGTTACTTCCTTCCCCGACTCCGATCGGATTCTCCCGGTGATTTCGACGCTTGGCTGACATAAGGGCGTAACTACACATTGACATGAGCCCGGAAAAGCATTGAATTGTATGCAAGACAGGGTTCATTGCAGAGTGTAGTTACGCCCTTATGTCAGGTAGGCGACGATTTGGTAACAAGAGATGCTATTAAGCTCCGTCGGTCGCATTCTTTTCCATTCCAGTGGCGCGCGATGAATCGACGAATCCGCCATTTAAACCCATAGAAAAGTATCGATTATCAGAGTGTGCCTTAATATTCGATTCTTCACCATGGCTTCAAATGGGAAAATATCCATAGTCGCGTTTCATTCCTTATGAAAAAAATTATCCGGCTCACTTTAGCGGGAAGATGGCGGATCCGCGATAAGGCGGGCGAGCCGGGAGCATTTAAATATTTTTAATTAGCCGTTATGCAGCGCGTAAAAAGTCGTCGTTAAGTTAATTATTCGCCATCGGAGGAGCGGAGCGCAACGCGTTTTCTCAAATTGAGTGCCACGGTCGACTCGCGGCCGAGCAGTGCCGAAACACCCGGGGTATCCGGTAAATAGACTAACACGTGGAAACCCAGGAAGTCGCTCTTCCCCTCCCTCTTTTTCGCTCGCTTACAACTCGGAAACTCTGCCTCCATCGTCGACAAGTTTACGGTGTAGGGTTTGAAATCAGCGGGGTGGAGAAAAACTAAAGAGAATTTTTTAAAATTTTGTTTACACTTTTTTTTTAATTTTTTAAATTTTTCTTAATTTCTTAATTTTTCAATTTTTTATAAATTTTTTGAATTTTTTTGAATTTTTTTTTATTTTATTATTTTTTAATTTTTTAAATTTTTTTTAAATATTTTTTCATTGTTTTGCTATTTCTTTATCGTTCAATTTTTTTTATTTTCATTTTAGTTTTTATTTTAACCTCGGAAACGGGAGCACTCCCGGCACAAATTGTATACTATCCTGATTTTTTATTCACTAGGCCTGGAAATTCAGAAAACATTCCTTCAAGGGTTAGGATTTGCAACCCGCACTTAGGAAGAATAGAAAATGAAAACAAAATCATTATTGCTACTTTATCAATTATTATCCTTTCTTATAATTATTCTCCTTTATCATTTCCTATTCTTTTTGTCGTTTCTTTAATGTACATAATACTTGACGGACATGCATAAAAAGATGCATTTCGACGACTATAGAAGAGTTCTTATTATTTATAAGGGGGATTGTTAATCTGTAATTTGAAATCTACACTCCATCTCTCATAATTTTTTAAATAATTCAAAAATTTCCATTCATAAAAAATTTCACAATTTTAAAGTCATGGTATTAAAAATTAATTTAAAACATCCACAAAAGTCGATCATACTTTAAACTATGTGTTTGATGTTTTAGAGTATAAGTATAGGAGCGTCACATTCTATCCGAGAGCACCATAAATGTGACAACACTGATACGTGCTATTTCTGATCAGCCAACTGTTCCATTATGAAGTACATCCGATGTCGGTACTCCGTTAGTGGTTTTTTGTGCCTAATTAATTTTCACCTTGAACGTCAGCTACGCATCTTTCATTGATATCGAACCGCAAAAATATTTTGAAGGCCTGTGTCTATTCACGAATGCGTCATTGCCACTGGTATTTTCACGTTTTCGTCCTATCAGAAAATTGCTTACTTTGAAAGAGTGTTTGGCACTTGTTTCATGCGACTGACACATGTGTTAGAAACTGTGGACCATAGTACACTCAGATCTATATAAATGGGGAAAGGTTGTTGAGCGCAATGTTGCTAGAGGGGGTTCATTGTGTATGTTTTGATTTTTGAAAATTGAAAGATTCAGCAAAAACAGTTAGATCCATCCAGATGGATCTCCGCATTCTGCGAAAAATATGGAGATCCAAATATGGATCGTCTATCCAGGTGGATGTAGCGTTTTTCCCGTCAATTGTAACACTGCTTCCTGCGAACATCTTACAATGCGTATATTTATTCACAGTCAGTCACAATAACTTTAAAAAAAATATAGCAAATCAAATACAAGGGAAAACTTAACCCATGAAAAAGTATTACCACTCGAAGGATGTTGTCTGGCCTACCTTGAGAATTGAAGGGAAAATACCTATTTCCGTAACCACATTTCTTCTTCGTGTCGATTCTGTTTACTTTTAATTTCCGATAGAAAATTTCCAATGCGCGTTGGAATATAAATTTTTAACTTTGAAGTGAATTTTATTAGAGGTCGGATTAATTGACCGCTAATGGTTTCATATGTCTCCTTTAGTCTGATTTGGAATTTTCGCGGTATTAATAACTAAAATTGTCGAAAAAGAAAAAAAATTGTCAAAAAGAAGCCATTATTTCAGGCTCATTTTTTAAAGAAAATTATGAATCGTTAGTATCCCCTTGCAAATGATTTTACGTACGAGCCAATAATAACGTCTTTTCGAGCAAACTTTTATCCGTAATAATGACAATTTTTTATTTATTTTAAACTCTGTGAAAACTTCATCAGTTTCAGACCTTTTTTTAAGTGTGCAACTCCATTTTAACGTTCCAAAACGTTATCCCACAATGTATATGTCTATAGGAAAACTGTTGGAAAATTCAAACGGAAAATTGCACTGACAGTTTTTTTTCTGATCAAAAGCAAATATCAGGAAAACTTTAGACGAATATTTTGCACCCTTGGATGAAAATACGACCCCGATAAGCATGATTTCAATCTCGAGGTGTCACCAACATATAAGAGCGTTCCTGTGCTTCGCATTAAAACATTGTTGCCAAACTTTCCACACTCTGAATAGGATTGCATTTTGCAAACAGGAACCAAGAGCATTCCAATGTTGCCACGATTGTGCAACTTAAATTCTCTGCAAAAAATTACTGAAAACATAAAAAAATTAAATTGACAAAGGTAATTTTTGTCTTGAATTCATAGTTTATTGGGAGTTAAGATAAAATTTGTTTAGATGATCTGTTTATACTTGTAAGGTGAAATAAGTTGCACAATTTTAGCGATATTGGAATGCTCCTGGTTCCTTTTTGCAATATGCAATCCAATAATAAATCGGAAACAGGCCGAATCCCCACGAAAAATCCGACCGGCCGAATCTCCACGCGACCACGACAAGTATTCTCGCGCTTGTACGGGTTGACTTGCTGCCGAAACGCTAATCCCAAAAACCGATTATAACCTCGTGACGGTAATTTGCATAAAACGTGTGCGAAACTGAAATCGCTGGGAGGAAACATCCGCGAATGCTCATTTAACGACCCTCGCCGAACCGAGAGTTACACAATTTGATGAAAACCAACAATGACGTGTCACGGCGACAAACGAGAGTTTCGGTTACGGGCGCCGCACCACCTGGTCGTGTTCGGAGGGACGATAATTAGCAGGGGCCGCCGATCCGATGCTCCCGGGGACCTGTGCGGGAGGCGAAGAAAGTTACCTGGATCTCTGGATGCAATCCCTCCCCCCACCGGCGCCGCGTGAGCTAGGCCCCGACGCACAGTGCGGCCCTCCGTGGACAAAAATAAAAAAACCACAACTCGACATCTGAATATGTTTTTTATGGAGTTCGTCGTCTGAAAGATATTTCTGACTCACAATGATGGTTCGTTTTCAAATTTTTCCTCAAAACTACTTAAAATTTGCACCGGAAAAAAAACACATTGGATTTAGAGTCCAGACTCTTGAAAACATTGACAAGAAAAAATACTATTGATTCAATCAGATTTTTGCTTAAATCGAAAGGAAATCCACTCAAATTAAGAGGCTTGGTTCGTGATTTAAGCTTAAATCCGATTGAATCAAGAGTATTTTTTCTTGTCGACGTTTTAAAGAGTCTGGACACTAGATCCAATGTGTTTTTTTCCAGTGTAGTATAATCTTACATAAACGCACATTCAGACAGATTCCATATTTTCTGATATCATCGCCATGAGCTGACAGCCATTTTAGGGGCTCTCTTCTTTGTGAACATGGCAAAAATCCGATTGAATCAAGAGTATTTTCTCTTGCCGATGTTTTTAAGAGTCTGGACTATAGATCCAATGCGTTTTTTTCCAGTGTGGGCAAAAATTAGGCGGGAAATGGGTCGAGAATCACTGGTCCATAAGGAATACACGGGAAAAAGACGTAAACTTCAAATGAAGATTTCTCGTTTGAAACGCAAAATTCTCCGGGAAGTTGACGTTTTCTTAATCCTCAATATCCAACTTCAATTCGACCAAAAAGATCTTGCGACATTTTCCGACTATTAGAGATATTTGAAGTTAAAGTTTGGTTGTTTTACGTCGCTCTTACATCGTCAACATAGGGCTAAATCGATGTTGCCGACTTCAAATGAACTTTTCTCGAAAAATACGCAAAAAATCCCGAGATATAACATTTTCTAATTCTTTAAGGGTTTTAATTTGATAGCGCCAAAGGGTTTTCCTATGTCGGTGCTACACTGCCATGCTAAGGAAGAACGTTGTATGAAAATTCGAGAGTTGCCAAATTTCCTTCGATAAAATGTTTATTTTTTAGGAAAGTTATGACTATTTTTCCTTGAAATTTTCAGAATCTTTAGGTAAAATTGCGAACTAAATTACCTGAAAAATTGGGAGGAAAATATTCATAAATATACTAGGGAATTCGCGTCTCATCAGAGGAAATTAGGCAACACCTGAAGGTTCATACGACGTTTTTCCTTAGCACGGCAGTGCTATCTTCATTATTTAAATTTAAACGACTTTTCCAGATTTTTGTCCGCATCGTCCTGAGGATGTCGCACTGTGCGACGCCTGGCCGGGGGAGGGGGGCTAGAGGGCAGCCGGGTAGAAACTACAACTACTCAGCGTGAAATTCTGGATCATGAAAACCGTGAGCTCATCCGAAGAGGACGACCAGGCGACCGACCGCATCACCCATACCAGCCGGGCAGAGCGCCGAACCCGCGGCAGTTGGTGAACCCACCTCAGTTCGTTCGCACCGGCTGCGCAGTGCGTTTCGCTCCAGTCCGCTGTCCGCGCATCAACCGGTTTCGAGCATTGTTTACGGCCGGTTTCCGCGCCCGGCACCACGCGCTTTTGAGAATTCGTGCACTTTGAAAATTTGACGTGGGATTCGTGAATTTAAGTCAATCTCCAGCTTGGATTATCGTAGGGTGTGTGTGCATTTTTGAAAACGGATTTGTTTCGAAGTGGTTTTACAAATCTTTTTTCGATAGTGCGTATTGATAATTGAAGTGAAAAGTGAAGTGAGTGATTCGTATTGTGGATATGATACTGTGCCGAGAATACGGGTGATACTAATATGAGGTTCGTAGCTCTCTTTCATTACAATCCCGTGGGGTTAACCAAATACAAAGTTTCTTGGTGCTGAAAGGAACATGCAACAATTGGACTACATTTTGCAATTAGGAACTATAAATTCTAGCCCGGTTTAAAAGCAACGTACGTGCCATTAGTTTCCGTATGCACATATAGGTGTTTTTCCAGAAGAGCCAGAGCTTATAGTTCTAAATTGAAAAATGCAGTCCACTTGATTCAGCGAGGATCTGACTAAATTGTTAGACGGTCCCTATAACGCTGTTATGTTCAAGGAAGAACGCCGTATGCACCAGCAGACATTGCCAACATTTCTCTATTGTAATATGCGGGTTTTCGGGGAAATCTATGATTGTTTTTCCTCCAATTTTTCAGAAAATTTCACTCGCAGTTAGATTCAACTTATCTGGAAACTTCAAGAGAAAATTCATAATTTTTCTCAAAAGTAAACTTTTTACTTGAGGAAATTTGGCAACTCTCGAATGTACATACGGCGTTTTTCCTTAGCTCGGCAGCACGGCCAGCAATAATTTCGGTCCATGAGATCTTTTATGGCCACACTGATCAAAAGTAATCTGGTAGTCTTTCCGTAAATGACTGTAGGAACTTTGGGCAGAAGGTGGTGCTTTGGGGAAGAGTGCCCGATGAATCCTATTAAAGTATGCTAAGAGGGGAAGGAAGGACTTAAAACGTGGAAGAGGGGAGTGAAAAAATTGGAAAAAGTGCCTATTGTTTCTTATGGATGGCCCCTAACGATAGTCCATCATAATTATCGGCTTTATGTGATAGTCGTTTTTAGACTACCGATCGCAGGTAACCTAGTCAGAAGTCGCACTCATGTGACCATCTGATCCTGAGGCAATGGATTTACCTATTGATCATTCAAAAAAAAGTCCGACGTTTTATCACTAATTTGTATAAGTTGATATATCTGTAATTTTTGAGAGCTATCACAAACCGACTTAATGCTCGTGGAAATCTGCAATTCCAGGACTTTCTTTTTTAGCCCTTATTGTCATTACATCTTTATTGAATGTTAAGGAACTTTAGGGTAATATCTTTTCAAACAGGCTGTTTTTTAGCCAAACCATAAGGCATCCTGCTTCACTATAGGTAAACTGAACGGAAATTGTTCGTAGGAAAACTTAAATCTTCGAAAGTAAAAGTTTCACCGATGTCAGAATACTTTCATCGTTAAGATTACCGTAGACTTTCTTTTAAAAAATCAAATTACTGTGTCTCTACATGAGTTGTGACATAACGATTGAAATATTAGCACAAAATTAAGTCCATCTTGCTGGAAAGAACTCTGGCCTGCTTTTCTGCGCGGTGCATGCATCCTAAGGAAGATTGCAGGGGATCAAAATAAAGGCGCTGAGTAAGTAACTATTTTAACGCCTAGGAGCTGATTTTGCCTATACGGACAAATGAAGGCGGATCATGTTCGATTGAGCCGCGCCACTCAAATTTAAGTTCTGTTGGGGGTAAAGTAGGTGTTTGATCAGCAAATTTTGTGAGCTCCTATTATGAACAGTCTTCTTCACGTATGGAATATCCTATTCAATCAGAAGTCACCTAAAATTCAATGATAATCCTTTTGGTTTTAGCGTCGACTGCGCAGAGAAGCGAGGCAAAGTGTTGATTTCAAGAATGACATGCCGCGAGCACTGAGCGTGGAAACCCATGGTGCGTTTACTGCATGACTGTTCCCTATTTATCTCACACGAAAGCCATTAATTCAAAGGTCCCCTTCTTTTTGAGATCGCGGAATAAACCCCTGCCGTGTTCAACAGAAAAGCTCGCTTAGCCAAGAATTACCGGACTCGCGGAGGAACATACATCATTCTCGGTCGCATGCCAGGACCCTCCTCATTTCCAGCCTGTAAAAGACTGGAATTACAACAAACAGGTTAAAAAAGAGAAAAGAAATAAAAAGCTGAGGAATAATTTAGGGCTTCGTCTGATAATGAAAAAAGACGAATAGCTGTCAGCATTTAAGAAGGGTGTCCACCCATAGAGGATACCATGTCGGCCATGTCGGCCACTACTGCACTGCGCTAAGGAAGAATGTCGTATGAACATTCAAATGTTGCCACAATTCACCTTGTAAACTTATAAGTTTGGAGGGAGTTTATGAATTGTTTTTCTTGAAAATCTCACGTGATCTAGATTGAATAGCAAAAATAGTAAGGAAAATGCAAAGACAAAATTGAGAAGTTTGCCAAGAAACTCGTATTTCATCAAATAAAGTTTGGCAACGTGTTAATGTTTATACGGTGTTTTTCCTTGGCACGGCAGTAGCAACTGTTGGTCTTCCTGTCTTACTTTTCCTTCGTGTCATTAAATTTTGTTCCTCGTCAGGCTTTAGAGTATACGACCATAAATTTTTCGTTGAGTAGGAGGTCAAGGTCAGAAATTCATGAAGAGGCTCCATAAACGAACAGAATCAAACATTTTGCTCAATTTCTTTATTTTCTCGAAGAAAATAATGATCTTAATGGATTCATCCAAAAATTCACCAAATAGTCTTCCTATGAGGAGGAATAATTAGAAGATCTCAATGAATGCATGCAGTTATCCAAGAAAATTTGCTACCTTCCTAACTGCAAAACGTTTATCTCGCCAGTTTCACAAGCAACTTATCAAAGCTTTTTACGACTCTACACCAAAATTGGACTTAGGGAAGGACGATGCCATGAATTCAAATCCTCTGCATGTCGTCATACCTTTAATGTGGGGGTAGGTATAGATCTAAATTTTAACGTGAGTCTTGAAAAGCATGGAATTATACGGACAACAGAGTTCATCTCCAAATACAGTTAAACCGCCTACACACTAAAAAAATTCGAGCACCATTACCAGGACTGAGTTAAATAAATCCGTGCTAAGTTGCATTGAGTTTGAACCAAGGGATAGTGATTTGAAGTTTTTTTCCTCGGTTAAAATCAACGTTAAGGGCGAAGTTTAGAGACTGTTTCCACGATCAAATTATTTTTTCTCGACTTTGAATTGGGTTGTATTTTGCAATTAGGAGCCACTTTCTCTGGCTCCTCTGTAAAAGCACCTTTCTGCACACGGAAACCAATGGCATATCTTTTGTTCCTAAAACAAGCCAGAAATAGTGGCACTTTATTGCAAAATGTGGTCACATTTTTAACAGAATTGAACTCAAAACTACTTTAAAATAATTTTTTATCCAAAATGCGAGTAGGTACTGTTAAGGTGATCCGATGGACGCCATATTTTGTGTCAGAACGGCATGCGATATATCGCATCAATGGGTTCCATTTTTCAGCTACTCGTCATTTTTCTCCAATTTTGAGATCGCAATTCCGTTGTCAGGAGACTAAAGCACTCACTTACCAGTTTTAACAAAGAAATTCAACGTAATAAAGGCGTGATTTTTTTAGAGAGAAAATATCGCATTCGAGTGCAGTTTCGATATCAGTATCGAATTCGATGTTTTTTTCTCTGAAAAAACCACGCCTTTATTACGTTGAATTTCTTTGTTAAAATTGGTAAGTGAGTGCTTTAGTCTCCTGACAACAGAATTGCGATCTCAAAATTGGAGAAAAATGACGAGTAGCTGAAAAAATGGAACCAATCGATGAGATAAATCGCATGCCGTTCTGACACAAAATATGGCGTCCATCGAATCACCTTAAACTCTGTCGACTACATCCATCTACGAAAGAGGAAAAAGATTTTGGATAAAGTCATGTCCCTCGATATATCGGAAACACAAAACAGCGAAAACTTTAAGAGAGGAGGGCACAACCTGGCGTGAGTAATTACCAGCTAAAGGGTTCTCATTCGCTACGCAACAGATCGGTCTCGCTGGGGCACCACATCACCATCCCCCAAATCGCAGGTGGGACTCGCAACAGGGGGTGAAACCTTTCTTTCCCTCGAGCCTTATTACGGCCTATCGCAAACCAATCAACCCTCGTGAAGGCCCCTTTTGTTTACGCTCTCGCCCAATCCTCAAATCCAACACCTGACGCTGCGCCCTCGTTCCTGTTAATCTCGAAACATTTTTAATTTCTCCGTTTGTTTATCCTGTTGTCGGCGCCTGAATATTTTTCTTCCCTCGTCGGAAAGCCACCCGCGCTAAGCCCTACAATCAGAGCGCTCCTATTGAGTTCTTTAATTGAAAAGTGGGAGTAAATCTGTAGCTTTGAGCCGTGAGGCCGTGACTAAATGTTTGTCCTTTATGAACGAGGAAAATGTTCGTTTCCTCTCGCTGGCTGCTGGTCGTTTCTCTAAAACTTTGAACTTTATTATCAGGCGTGTTTGGACCACCTGTAATACATTTGTAACGTTACTCGACTAAATGATTGTCGTTTAAAATAGATTAGGAAAAGATTCGTTTTCTTACCTTGACTGTTTGTAATTCATCTACAATTTTGGACCAGAGGCGGATCTGGCAATTTGGCAACACCGGTTTTTCTCCATTTAAACCTATGTTAAGGAATCGATTGTTGTCGGAGCATCTGGCCTCTCCAATAATCGATACATTTTCATCATAGGTTTAAAAAGAGGAAATCCGGTGTTGCCAAATTGCTGGGTCCGCTAATGTTTTGGACTATGATCAAACACTTTTGAGCCACTTGTATTACTTATGCTGGAATTCAAATTTAGAAAGTCTGAGTAAACATACATTACTTCATTTCCATGGAATAGAGACGGATACAATAGTTTTTTGTATGGTTGTACCTTAATTCTAAATACATTCACAAGAAAATTCCTCAGTTATTCACTAAACTTTGCGGATTACTTACTCTAAACTTAATTTTAAGGACTTGCTTTTAAATTTACATTTGGTTTGGATCACAAAACAGAGGTTTAGATCGATTTAACACTTGTGTAGAGCGACCAAGTTGTGCACTTGCGTCTGCATGATTTTCTTTCCACCCAAAAATGATCTGGGAGAGGAAATTTCTTAACCCTGAAATGCAGGTAGGCTTTTGACTGGAGCTATTAAATTATTA